TGTGAGATTGTTCTGCTTTCCTAGGTTCAGAGCAAAAACACAACTGAGGCCAAGATATTTTTAACTCTATCTCAGGAATCAACAGACCCAGGACCTTGTTCCTAAGAGTACTGGATGCTGACCAGAACCTCATTGTCCTGAGAGCTTGATGATTAAGCAAGGGAGAAGGGAGGTGGGTGAGTCAGGGCACTGGGTGAGAGGCCAGTTTGAGTCAAAGGAAAAAAATAAAGACCAAATAAAGAGAATAAGGATTTTGTGTGGGATCAATTAGATCTTTCCAGTTTTTTCTTTAAGGTTTAGAGGGGAAATACCTTTCCATTGTTTCCTCTTCTCCCCTCCCAACTTTATTCTATATCCTTTTGTATAATCTCTATAACCTTGGAAATAAGACAACTTTTTAAAAATATCTTTTTATTGATTTTAGAGAAAGAGAGGAAGGGAGAGGGGGAGAGAGAGAGGAACATCAGTGATGAGAGAGAAACATCGATTGGCTACCTCCTGCACAACCCCCTGCTGGGGATGGAGCGGGAAACCCAAAGATCACTTGGTGCCTGAAATGATGATCAACCAACTTAGCCACGCCGGCCAGGGCAAGATAATTTTTTTTAACAGTGGTTTCTCATTCTTTTTTGTTTGTTTGTTTTTAATTTTATTATTGTTTAAAATATTACAGATGTCCCTTTTTCTCCCCAATGACCCGTTCCACCCCGTTCCTTCCCCCTCCCNTTTTTTTAAGTTTTATTATTGTTTAAAATATTACAGATGTCCCTTTTTCTCCCCAATGACCCGTTCCACCCCGTTCCTTCCCCCTCCCCAGTCCCTCTCCTCACCATTGTCTGTGTCCTTGGGTTGTGTATAAATGCACATAAATTCTTTGGTTGCTCTCTCCCCCTCCACCCACCTGCCCTCCTCCATCCCTGTGACATTCCTCAGTCTCATCTATGCTTCCATGTCATTGAATCTATTCTGTTCATCAGTTTATTAAGTTCTTTAGATTCCACGTATAAGCGAGATCATGTGATGTTTGTCTTTCTCTGCCTGGCTTATTTCACTTAGCATAATATTCTCCAGGTCCATCCATACTGTCCCAAAGGGTAAGAGATCCTTCTTCTTTACAGCTGCGTAGTATTCCAGGTTTCTCATTCTTAGTGCAATTATAGCATGAATAAGTTTGTTTGAAAGTTGATGACCTAGTTTTCCAAGAACGTTTCCTGCCTGAATTAGATATCCAAAAGTATATATGGTTCAGCAACCCAAGGTAAGATGGTTAGTAGATACTTTTCACTTATGATTCTAAATGGAATTGATGACACGTAGTGTTAGGTTTTATTTGATTTTATTCTTCTACTTGTAATAATGACATTGATCATAGCTTATGTATCTGTCCAAGTATGATTAGGTGCCTTTTAGTTTACTTTAATGATACATTCGATGCCAGCTCTATTTTCCTGGCACCATATCAGAATAGAACAAATGGAACATAACAGGGAACAATGAAGATGGAGTGGAGAATCTGTTCTTAAGGACAGTGATTCTCACCACTACACAAGTGCTGCATGTTTCCTGGTCTGATTTTGTGACTACTTTGTCTTCCAATCCCTGCTATTCAAAATCTGGTACAGCATATGTGCTTTATAATACCACCACCACCACCACACACACACACACACGCAGAGGAATCAGGGTTGCTGAGCTGTTTTAAGAACTTTCTGCATGCTACCAATTGAGATCATCGTATACACATGGATGAGGGCTGGGCTGGCTAGGTTTTAGCTGGGGTTCCCTAGGTTAGAACTGAGGAGTTAAGTGATGAGATCACGTTTCCCTCTTTGAACAACATCTGCAGTAGACATGTATAAGATTGGTTGCTTGGAGCTCCCTAACCCCATCTGAGTGGCTACTTACGGAAATAGCCATATTAGTAGATTTGGACCTGGCCATGGGGTTCTGGGTGAGGGAGTTTCTGATAAGTCAAATGGGCCAATCATAAGGCCTTTCCCTGCTGCCATAGCCAACCAGTCCAGGGCCATTTGGGCCAATGGATCTCTTCTCAGGACTTTTTGTACTTGGGATGCAGATTTTTGGGCCAATCTCTATGCATGTGGCTGTGGTTGTAAGATGTAAAGTTCAGGAGCTTCTTTTGCCATGTGGAGAAAGCCATTATACAGGGGAAAAGAAAAGAAAAAGATGAAGCCAGTGTGCAGAGGAAAGCAAAGGCAAGCGCTGGAGAAAAGGTATCTTCGTGGCATTGAGTCCCTGCTCCCAGCTGTCCCAGTCCAAACTGACACTGTTTATACACTGATGAGAATGTGTCTGGCTGGAAGGTGACTTGATTGCCTCCAAATTATAAGCTTTCCCTACCCATTATTATGCCATCTGTGTAACCTGGAAAATTCTCTTGAACTTAGTTTTTCTCTCTGAACCTCCCATTGCCTCAGCCTAAAAGTTCAAATAAAAACAAGAGAAACAAGCTCTGGCTGGTGTGGCTCAGTGGTTAGAGTGCCAGCCCTCACACCACAGGGTCCTGGGTTCGATTTCTTGTCAAGGGCACATAACTGGGGCGCATGCAGGAGGCAACCAGTCAATGTGGCTCTCTCACATCGATGTTTCTCTCTCTCTCTCCTTCCATCCCTCCACTCTCTGAAAAAGCAATGGAAAAAAAAAATCCTCAGGTGAGGATTAACCAAACAAACAAACCAACCAAAATATGAAGAGCATAATTCGATAAAATATTTATTGCACTGTATTGGGTGTGGTAGAGTACAAAGAGTATAGAGTATAAAGGTGTGGTAGAGTATAGCTGACACAAAGCAAAGCAAACCCATCCCTGAATAGGTGCAGACAGTATGACCAAAAATAAATGAGACATCCCTGCAGGCCACAAGGAGAGTATTCTGGATGCTGGACTGATAAAAAGGAAAAATAGGTGGAGCGGAAAGAGAAAGCCAAAGACCATGTTTCATTTGTAATTTATGAAATTACTTTTTAAAAAGCCAGCTCACCTGGGCCAGTGTGGCTCAGTTGGTTGAACATCAACCCATGAACCAGGAAGTCCCCAGATCTATTCCCCGGCACATGCCTGGGTTGCCGGCTGGATCCCCAGTAGGGGGCGCGCAGGAGGCAGCGAGTGATTTCTCTCTCTCATTGATGTTTCTATCTTTCCCTTTCCCCTCCTCTCTCTGAAATCAATAAAAACTGAAAGGTTAACAATCAGTGGTGGTGCACGGGTAGGCTAAATAGCCATCTCAGATGGGTGAATAAAAAAAATTAAATTTATTGGAAGGGCTGGGGATGTCCAAAGGGAAGGGCTACACAGCACTGAGCCAAATGGTATTGGATCTATGATGGCAGCAAAAATACACTTGGGATAGTAAAGCAAGAAAGAGCATAGAAGACACAACAGGAGAACCTAGGCTGGGCTACTTTGGCTCACTGAGAAGTTGGAGAGAGAAGGGGGCCTTGGAGACAGGTTCAGGGGGTAAGCCCTGGACCAGCTGCCACTGCCCATTGCTCCCCTGGCTGCAAGTCTCGTGGGGTCCCCTCAGAGGGATGGAGATGATGCAGGCATGCTCCCCTGGTGGGGAACTCCATCTGGGTCCTTTGTCCTGAGCATATTTATCTCTTTCTTGCAGGCATGAATCTTAGAATATTCATAGAATATTCATCAGCTTTCCAGGTGTGCTCTTTCAGGGTTGTGGTCTCCATTGATTGGTCCATGCCAGGGCAGGGGGTCATTAGTCAATGTAGCTGGTCCTGAGGCAGCCACAGCACCACTGGTCTGCTTATCTGGGCCTGGAGCTGAAATACAACTGAGGCCGAGATGTAATCTTTAGGGAGAAAACGATCAGGGGTCCCAGGTTCTTATTTTTGCCCCTTGCCCTTAGGCATCTGGGGCTTCCTGCCCTGGTGAGTTTCTGTTCTTGGGTTCCTGTACCTGGCCCACCTAACAAAAACATATTTTAAAAAATAATAAAAAGCCAGCTTAATTAAAATTGGCACATTTTTGCTAAGCGTGAGGTATCAGAAGAAACACACAATATGGACCCTGTCTCCTAGGAAATTACCATCTTGAAAGGTCCCCTCATTACCTCATTTTATTTCCTCTTTAGACCGCTCTACTACATTTGAAATGTTATTTGCTAACTTGCTTGTTGACTTATTTTCCTTTCCTGGAATGTAAGCGCCCCAAAGGCAGGAATTTTTATGCTTTGTTGCATCCCCAGCATCTGAAATGATATCTGGCTCACTGCAAACAGCTCAATAAGAATTCGTTGATGGCCTGGGGAGGGGAGTGCGTGCGAGGGGTGGGGCAATGGGAGAAAAAAGGGGACATAGATAATATTTTGAACAATAAAAAAACACAAGAATTCATTGAATGAAATGGAGACTAAAATCCTAGGGTAAAATCATCTTAAAGCTGTGACCTTGTATTTCTCTGTGACCTTGAAGATCTCCAACTCTCCACCACTAGGGGGCAGACCTAGATTAGAAGAGAAACGATTTTTTCCCCTTTCGGTCAGTGGTTCTCAACCTTTGCTTCCTTTAGCATAACCTGCGGCGCCTTTACACTTCTGGAAGACCAGGCCCCACCCCTGACTGACTAAATCAGTCTCCAGGGGGTGGGGCCCAAGCTTCAGTAGTTTGGAAAACTGCCCAGAAGATGCCAACGTACAGCTAAGGGCAAGAACCCTGGACCTGGAGCCGAGGTGCTGCAGTCAAAGTCGCGCAGCCTTCAGCGAAGAGGGGTAACGGAGACCAGCTCTAAGGCCCTGGCAGCACTGCGCCCCCACGTCACACCCTGACCGCTCCCCGCTGTATTTCACCAACAATGGCAGGGTTGAGCCGGCCCCCTAGTTAGAAAAGTGCTGCACTGCCTATTGAGTGGGAAGCTCCACCGAGACGGCTCCAGTTTCTGGCCAATGAGCTGAGCTGCAGGCGCAGGAGGCCCCGCCCCCCGGCAGCGTGGGTGCAGGGGGGTTCCCCCTCCGGAGGCCTGACTGTCAGGGTGCGGTCGTGGGCAGCGCGCTTTGGTCTCGCTGTGGCGTGCGCTGTCGCAGTCTCCATTGCTCCTACTTCCCTCTGCCCACGGGCGCGTGGGGCCCGGGTCTCTGGTCACCTGCGCAGCGGCAGAGCGCAATGAGGCGTGTGGCGCTTCGGTAGGTGGCTGGGGGGCCTGACGTGGCGCCTACTCCTGCCTTCGGCACTGCTAGCGGGCCCGGGCGGATGGACCGGGCTGGCGGCGGCGGGACTAATGCGGGGGCTTTGGGGCAGAAAGTGAGGCTGCGTGGGAACGGGCGCCCGCCTGCCGCGACCACGCCGGGACCCTGGCCAGCCGGCCTGGGGTGGGGCACCGCGCTCCTCGCCCCAGCAGCTTCTGGCTTTGAGTGTGACATTAAAATCGAAGCTGCACTGGAAGGAAGGAAGTTGGGTGTTCCCTGAAATTCCTTTACGTCTGCTCATCAGGGGTGTGGTTTGGGGGTAGCCCCTTGTCAGAAAGCTGGTATTTGGAGTTCCACATTACTTTTCCAGTCCTTTGCCCTCGTTTGGAGGACATTTTTAGGGTTCAGTGCTTGGCCTACTTGGACTCAGACTTAAGTGTGTTGTAATGTGCGCAGGGATTGTAGGGTCCCTACTGGGCGCTCAGGATTGTATGACGAGGCCCCCTGGTGCTGATTGGAACTTTACCTTTAATGAGCAGCAAGGCAAGGGTGGGGGGCTTTGGTTGGGTCAGTTGGACGAAGATGGTGCTATTTTGTATAAGTCACCATCCCAGCTTGCCCAGTTAAGGCCTAAGGCTTTAGATTCGTGGGCATATCTGGCTCTCTCCCAACCCCCTTCACTGGATCACTCCAGCTGTTCAAATTCTTCCTGCTTGGCTGTGTCCCAGGGGCCTCCCCACGGTTCTAGCTTCTGGAATCATCCAGCTACAGGTGACCTGGCCCCTCTGGTGTGCCCACAGTGGTTCTGACACTGATCCCCACCAATTATCTTGGGGGTCCTGGTTCTCTCTCATTGTTCCTGTGGACCTTTCTGTCAGTTGAGAAAGGTTCTCTTTCTGTGTGTATCTCTTGTTTATAGCACTTAAAAAATAAAAACACTTTGTTACACTATTTGAAGACAGGTTGAAAGTCAGGTTGAAAGGACCACAGTTGGCTTTAGCTTGCATTGGACACAATATGAAAGGCCCTCTACAAGCTCCACAGTCTTGCTCATGTGCCATATCCCAGGAAATCTTTCTTGATCTCCTCTCCCCGTCTGGAAGTCCTCTTTCTTTGAACTGAATGCCTATAAACTTGCGTTTCTTTCTTGTGAGTCTTGTTGAACCTTAAGAAGGTACTCCCTTAGTGTCTAATGAAAGAGTGCATCAATAAATACGGGCTATCCTAGATGATTAGGTTATTTGACTGGTGGGCAACCTTTGTAGCTTCTTTTCTTTCCACTCACAAACGAGCCACCTGAATTTGTTTAGTCTCTGAATTGAGGCATTCCCAGAGTGAAGGACATGAGTGGCATTGCCTGTTACTGTACTAAAAATTCTTCCTAGACACCCACCCTAAGTTTGGGACCCAGAACAGAGCCAAGACACTTCTGTTCAGACGTTTAGGTGACTTCTGTGACTCCCTAAGCAAGCCATGGAAAGGTTGGGCTCCTTGGTCTCCTTTCATTGGAAAGGTTTAGTCAGGAAGAGCTAGGGCCTGAGTGTCCCTGAAGCCTCTTGAGAGTTTCTTCTAAAGGCTTAGAGGTTTTGCTCTGCAACTCCTGAAGGCTTATCAGGGAATAAGCCAGTTATCCTGGGGTACCCAGGTGTTGGTAGTGATTAATCAATCTCCCTCTCCCTCCACTTCCCTGCTGCATATATAAAGGAAGTAGCTGAGACTGTGAAAAGAGCAACTGCATGTGTGTGTGTGTGTGTGTGTGTGTGTGTGTGTACACGCATGTATGTATGGGAGCAGGGTCAGAAGAACTGGGCTCTATCTAGTTGACTGGCACTGGGAAAAGTCATCTAATTTCTTTGAACCTCGGGTTCTTCAGGAGGTTTGTCTGAATCAGAATTTTTAAATGTAAGGGCTTATGGGGGTATCAAAAGGGGGTTGTCTGTGAACCTCCTGAAATAGTATATGCCAGTTTTCATTAGATTATCAGTAGATAGAATACTAAATTGAAAGTTATCATAAACTGAATGTTCACAGGGCAATAGAAATTTGTTATACCAATATATGATTAGTATAGTCAACAAGTTTTTAAAAAGTGCTCAAATTTTGCCTTGGTTCTGTTACAGGGATATATTTCCAAATTTTTAAAGGCAGTGTGCAAAGAACAGGGCTGCAGGTCCACAGTTTTCCAAATAATTTGGCCCAAGTGTTTCTCTGTACTCATCAACTCCCTTCACTATCTCCATTCGATTCACCACTCAGAGATGGCCCATCTTGGTGCCTAGCTTATGCTTTCTAAATTTCTGCTCCTTTCTGACTTTTAGGGGAGGCTGTGGAGGAGCATGACTTTCTGCAATAGTAATAGCTGATGGTTTTTTGAGGACTTGTTAGTGTATCAGGCACACTCCTAAGGGTTTAGCATGTGTTAACTTCTTTATCCTTATGGTAGTCCTATGGGATAGGTACTATTAATATCCCCATCTTACAGATGAGGAAACTGAAGCTCAGAGAGATTAGATAACTTGCCCAAGGTCACTCTGCTAACAAACAGCATATTCAGGCCCTTAACCTCCGTACTATACTACCTCTCAGGCAGGGTGGGATAGTTTTCATCACTCTTCAGAAAATACTGCTTCTTAGGGTAACAGACAACAGTGCTTGTATATATGTATATTTACCCAAATATGTGAGATGGTTATATACCTCCTGTTAGTTCGTGATGAGTATTCAAAATATTAAGCTACGCAGAGTCAGGTCTCATGTCTTATATTGGGAGCGTCTACAGCATTCGTTGTAATTGCTGATTAACCTATTGAGGGCATGGGTTTTTTTTGTTTTTGTTTTTGTTTTTGTTTTTTTTTCTCTTTCAGCTAATAGTACCTGCTGCCACAAAAGCCAGACTTGTGAGATGGGTGCCGGGGTGGGGTGGGGTGAAAGGAAAGAGGTTTATTCAAGTGTCCAAAGCCCATCTTCACATCTCAGTACAGGCGGTGGTTTCTATAAGGAGGGAGAGGGGTAGCAGAACAAAGAGGTCAAGGAAAGGGGTTGAAAAGTTCTCTATGTGTAGACCAGCACGGTTCGTTCTGGTCAAGTGATGGCCTGGTGTACGTCATCCTGGTTTTCGTCACCCTGGTTTTACGGTTGAAGGTCAGCAATTCACCTAGAGTTGGGATGGCTGAAGGTCAGAGTCTATACCTTCTGAAGTTAGTTCCCAGGATTCTTACACAAACATGCTGTTTGCCTATAAGCTACATATTAGCCAGAGTCAGCATTTATAGAAACTGTCAAAAGAATGGCGGGGTGGGTTACAATTCACCACTGTTACAATATTCGCTTTCTCCAGTGTGCTATTTAAAACACAATACATTCAGTTACAGAATGCTAGTTTCTGAGAAGGCAGACTGAAGGACTGTTTCCTTCAATAAGGGATTTGAACCTACAGAAAATACATAAAGTGAAATAGTGAGAACAAAAGAAAATTCAGATCATGTTCTGAGAAAATGCAAATTAGAAGGTCAAGAGTTTAGAAGACTGAAATGTTAATATACATATACAAGTACAGAAATGGAAAGTTTATTGTGATAAAAATAAATCCAAAATATATAAGATAGAGAGGCTTATTAGCTATTTGATTAAAGAGTAAACACAAAACCAAAACCCCAAACACTCCAGCGAGTGTTCTGATCTTAGTGTACCAGCAGGGATTGTATCACAGCTAGTGTGATGACTGGATAGCTAGGAGTTACATGTAGATCTTACCAAATATTTTTACTCAGAGACTTTTCCTGAATGCTGTATATAATTCTGAAGAGGAATCTATAGTGAAGTTGGGCTCTAAAGAAAATTCAAAATATACTTTCTGTTGGGGGGGTTAGTCATCACTTGTTCTGGCATTAGGTAGTAAGAATTCACTAGTAACTTGAGCTAGAATGAGTAACAGTACAGTGCTACCTCGGTTTTCGAACGTGATCCGTTCCGGGAGACCATTCTAGTTCTGAAACATTCGGAAACCGAGGGATCAACAGCCAACAGCTGGGCCTCAGGATCTTGCTCTGCGTGGAAGCCGTGAGGCATGTTCGACTCCCGAGGTGGGTGCGAAAACTGAAGCATTTCCTTCTGGGTTTACAGCATTTGTAACCTGAAATGCTCATCCATGGAGACGTTCGAAAACCGAGGAACCACTGTGTTTAGGGTTCTTGACCTCTTCAATCTCTTACCTTCTTCACCTGTGCTCTTAACAGATCAATTTGTCAATCTCTGATATTATATGTGTGTTACTAGTGAGATGATAGTATATGGTTAGGAGTCAGCCAACTTAAATAACTTATTTTGGAAGAATAGGGTAGGCACATTTGGATAAATAGCTTTTATTTTAATTCATTGGGGATCAGGAAATTTCTGCCTAAGTGCAATAAATACTGTCTTTGAGTCTGGAAAGGGTTAATTCTGTTTTCAAAGTCTATTAACTTATAATTGGGTTTAGCTTATCTATTGAGGAAACACGGTGTGATAATGAACAAAATAAATGTTTGTAATTTATTTACTCACTACCAAATCGATTCTGGGCTTCTGAAGCTAATAAAATAGAAAGCAAGAACAAATCCATTAAACATGGTTGATATCTTTTATGTATTTTGTAGTTACCTAATTGCTCTCTGCTCTCAAGAAATGTTTACTCTGAGCCCTGGCCAGTGTGGCTCAGTTGGTTGGGTGTTGTCCTGTGTATCAAAAGGTTGCTGGTTCGATTCCTGGTCAGGGCACATGCCCCAGCTGCAGGCTCGGCCCCCAGTAGGGAACATGCAGGAAGCAGCTGGGATTTGCTCTCACATTGATGTCCCCCTCCTCTCTCCCCCCCACCCCCACTCCTTTCCTCACTCTCTAAAATTAATAAAAATATTTTTAAAAAGAAAAAAAGAAATGTTTACTCTGAGACTGGTGGTTGCCAGAGGGGAGGGGGTTTGGGGGACTGGGTGGTAAGGGTGAAGGGACCGAGAAGTACAAATTGGTAGTAACGAAGTAGTCACAGGATGTAAAGTACAGCAAAGCTATATAGTCAATATTGTTGTAATAACTATGTATCAGCCAGGTGGGTACTAGAAATAGCAGGGGGAACACTTTAGAAAGTATATGATTGTCTAACTACTATGCTATACACTGGAAACTAATACTAAATAGTATTGAATGTAAATTGTAATTGAAAAATTAAAAAAATGTTTACTCTAGTTGGAGATGATTTATGGAGTAGCCTCATATGCAAATATGCATACACTTGAGAAACAAGTACAGACCCCTGCAAGACAATATACACTATAGTCATGCACTGCTTAACGACGGGCAATTCTGAGAAATGCCTCGTTAGGTGATCATGTCGTTGTGCAAACATTATAGAGTGAACTTACACAACACAAACCTAGATGGGATAGCCTACTACACTCTTAGGCTATATGCTATATCACTGTTGTATATTCGGTCTGTCGTTGACCGAAATGTTGTTATTCAGCGCATGACTATGTGCTAAGGATGTGGGACGGCCAACTGCTCTGGGAGGAGGCACAGGTCTTTGGGGTTGCCAGGGAAGAAGCCGTGGAATCTCCTCTAAATGTGTTTATTCTTGTTTTGTAGGCTTTCTACCTTGAACAGGGGGCTGCTTACTCCTGGCAGAGGACTGACTCAAGGATTACAGAATCCTGAAAAACAGAGTGTCTTCCACATTCATGAAGGCAAGCATGGAGGTTTACTTTTTAGGCTTATGTGGTTAAAACCCTGTTTTATGTGGGAGGCATATAGATAGATACTTTAGGGCAAATGAGGTATGCTAACAGATCTTTCATAAACTCCTCATTAAAAAATAACCAGGATAGCTGTGGGTAGAGATCACATTCAGAATTTGAACTTTGGTTCCTGGGAACCTCGAGGACTGAGTTCTTCTAGTTAAATGATTTCTACTTCCAGTGTGTAGGTACTGAAGAGGAAGACACGGAAAAAAGAAATCTAGTGCATAAGTAAGGAATGGGCACTTCAATTGTACCAACTAAACACTCCTAGTACACAACTTTGTTAGAGGGGCCCTGTTTAATCCATGTTTAATTGAAGTTAATTTCAATTATTAACCTGATATGCAAATTATGGATGTCTTTATCAATTTAGTAGTACTCATTGTAATTAAAATTGTGGCTTCTTTAAAGGGGCCACATAAATATATATGTATAAATGTAATTTAAAATTCTACTTTACTTCTTGGCCCTCAGCCCTGGCCTTTCCTCTTACACTGACTAAACTAGTAATAATCATTTTATGTTAGCGAGCATCAATAGTCTATATAGTGTTCCAAGTACTTTCTGTTCATTCTTTTATTTAAGGAACTCAGGAGGAAAAAATATCAGAAAGAAGACTAAATTTACTAATTATTTTTTTAGTTCTCTATGATTTATTTGTAATTAGAGCTTGCACCAAATTTATGGCATATAACAATTGTTTGACAGAAAAATCAACCATGTTTTTCATGTTAATCTAACCATATTTAGTTCTGATCAGTTAGTTATTGAAGGACCATTAATTTCTTGTAACTAGAATATAAATTTTTAGTTTCTAGAAAAAAACCTCATAAACTCAACAAACACATTTGAAATCCTGTAGACTTATTTTTTAGTTTTGAATTACTACCGCTAATCTCATTTATTTTCCCTTTATTCACATAGCGTCTTCACCTATACACGTGAACCATGGTGTGTGGTAATTAGTATCAACTAAGTGCTTAATTATTTTTTTACACTAATTCTTTCTTCCACCTTTGGGCAGTGGGTGTTAACTAAAATTAAATTGCATTCTTTCCTTTCCTTGATTTACATCTTTGATTCATTTTTCTGGCTTAAGCTTTTCTAACAATTAGGATAATGTAAATATATGAGAAATCAATTAGAATGGTGTTCAGATTTGGATATTATTTTTAGTCCCTGAACTAAGTAATTTGATCTACTGCCTAAAGAAGATGGGTGGGGATTCTGTTCATAATATCTCCATCATAAAGGGACTCCTACTGGCACTGATATAGCCCCATCCCATGAAGAGCCGGAGTCACCTTTTTTCTTTTGCTTATGTAAACCCTAGTGATTGGCACAAGGGTACTCTTTTCTGCATTAAGGAGACAATAGTGGTTTCACATTTTCAGGAAGCAGAGGCCTGAATCCTTCTTTGAACTATTTTTGTGGCACTAACTGGAAATTCAGGGGTTTGAAAGCTTTCTTTTTAAAAAATATATATCTTTATTTATTTCAGAGAAAAGGGAGAGGGGGCAGAGGGAAAGAGATAGAAACATCAATGATGAGAGTCATTGATCGGCTGCCTCCTGTACGCCCCCTGCTGGGGATCGAGCCCGCAACCCGGGCATGGGCCCTGACCGGGAAGCGAACCACGATCTCCTGGATCCTAGGTTGATGCTCAACCGCTGAGCCATGTCAGCTGGGCTCTTTAAAGCTTTTGAGGGCATGAATCACTTTTCATAGTTCTTATGCTTGTTGCCTTATTTCAGTTCTGATATTTCTTTGTTTCTAGGGGTAACCTCTCTATTTTTTTTCAGTTCGAGATAAGTTGCGGGAGATAGTAGGAGCATCCACAAACTGGAGGTATGCACTCATGTATTCACTCTTTCATCCCTGAAGTGGTGTGCTGGGCTGTACTTAGGCTCAGTTGAAGGCCTCATTGTAGGGATGGGGGGGCTCTGTGTACGAAAATGGGTTGAGAGGCTTTTTCACTTGAGGGAGAAGATCAACATTCCAACGTATTCATCAGTTGATGCATTGTCGTCATAAAATAATGTCGTTTACATGTATTCCACATTTTTCAAAGTGCATTCAGGTATATTACCTTCCTGGTTCTCAATAAGACTTGTGAAAGGCTTACGGTACATGTTCCTATCCCTTTTTTTGCATATGATTAAATGGAAACCCAGAGAGATTGAACAATTATCAGGGTTTGGGACTCGAACCCAAGTTTCCCGGTTTTTCTATTTCATGCAGCCTGACTCCTTTATTGCTTCTTGTTACCTCACAATTAACCAGGTTCCCATAAGTCTTTCTCTTTCAGTATTTTCCTGCTGTAAAATAGGATAACATTCCACTTGGTACACAGAATTTTGAGGCTAAAATGAGATAAAAAGTACAAGTGATCACTAGACATACAATAATCTATTGTTGGCGCCCTGGCTGGGTAGCTCAGTTGGTTAGAGTGTCATCCCAATACACCAAGGTTGCAGGTTTGATCCCCGGTCAGGGCACATACAAGAATCAACCAGTTAATTTATACATAAGTGGAACAACAAATTGATGTTTTTTTCTCTCTCTCTCTCAAATAAATAAAAATAATCTATTGGTATAAAAATCATCTAATGACTTCTTTATAGGAAAATTTCAATTTACTGAAACCTAGGAAAAAGAATACCTATGTCCCCACCATCTGGATTGGATGCTTACTAACCGTCTTCCAGATTTGCCAGTATACACATATTTGCTGAACTGTTTCTAAGTTAATTGTAGTTATCATGACACTTCAGCACACATCTCCAATAAATAAACATATTCTCCTATGTAAGAAAATCAGTAGTCATGTATCTCCAACAAGCAAGACGTTACATACAGAAATTGATAGTAATTTCCTAATAGTATATTATGCATTTATATTCATAATTCCTCAACTGTTCCTCAAATGTCTTTTCCCCCCAGATGTCTTTTATAGCTTTTCTTTGTTTTTCTAAAATCACTTCCCCAGAATGCCTGGTTTTACACGTGAGTCTAGCTTTTTAAAAAACATCAAGATCCAATAAAGGATTGTATATTGTATTTGGTGGTTACGACTCTTTAGTCTCCCCTAATCTAGAATAATAGAGTTATCCCTCTCTCCCTTTTATCACCATGAGCTTGACTTTAAAGAGGCCAAGCCCTAGCCAGTTTGGCTCAGTGGTTAGAGTGTCGGCCTGTGGACTGAAGGGTCCCGGGTTCGATTCCGACCAAGGGCACGTACCTCG